CATCAAATTATTATGATAGTTTTACCTATTATTTACTGTCATTGGCGAAAGCCGTTGTAATTAATTATAAATAAATAAATAAAGACCAAAATGGCTGTCACATAGAGGGGAAGGGGATTAGACCTCAGTATGTAGTGTATTTATGTATTAAAATTGTTGTAATATACTATATATATATATATACACTGTATAAATAATTTTGATGCATATTCAAATATTAAAATGAGATGAAAGAATGACGTGTCGAGGAAGTTTAGTCTTGATCAGACTAATACTTATAAGGCTTAACCATAAATCTGCTTATTAAAAAAGTATAATTAAGCTTTTCTTTACGTTTTTATTTAACTTATTATAGTGTCTTAATTTATCAAGTTTAATGTAATGAAATAAGTTTCAAACGGTTTAATTAGTTAAAGTGGAACCTTAATTAAACTTGTTTGGTGTTTCCGAAGGGAATTTTAATTTAACCTTTAAATTATATATTTGGTTGATACTCCATTGTTATTGTTCCAATACAAGCTTAAATTCAATATTGTCGTGGATTCGTTTTTATTTTATTAAGGAAAACATCCAGTTGCCTTCTTGTGACAGCTCAGAAAATAGTTATGACGTCTAAATATCGATAATAGTATATTTTGATTGACAACATCACATTTCACTCTGTCAAGTCGGTACAATCGTACTGAAACTTATTTTCCGATGAGGTAGAAATTGCAAACTTTATACATTTATTTCATAACTGAGAACTGGATGACAAAGCAATGATATAAAAATAGTAAAAAATAATAATGGTAAGACTTTCTTTTGTCCAGAACCAGGTGTAAGTCGCAGTTCTGTAGGGGGAAGCTACGACGAAACTGGATGGAGTACAGAGCGCTCCATATTGAATATTAGAGATAGAGCTCGTCTATCTTGTGGTGGCTCTTTAGGTCCTGGATCGGCGTTATCTTCTCCTGGACCGCCGGCTTGCGCTTGCTTTGTTCCTCAAAGGGACCATCACTCAGCTCCAGCGGTCTCATTCTGCGAGGACTGACGCTAATACAGGCAAAAATGGAAGAACACGTATGTTACCAAGGCGGTAATAAATGAATAGTTGTATATTGAGTTCCATAAAAGTATGAATATGGTCAATTCTTTAACGAAAATTGATAGTTTAGAAAAATATTCCTCTTATTTGCCAGTTGATAATAATTTCCTACTGCAAATGGGAGCCAACGTCTAAATTGATAATGCGGAGACCTCTTAAAATTTTTATGTATCTAATATTTATCTACATCGACGGCGGGTGGCTTATTTACGAGGGTAGCTCAAAACTACTTAACACAATAAGTGTAACTAATGAAGTGCCGGATTAGCGAGATGATGCTTTATTTATGTATGTATATAATTAATATTAAAATATTCATTACGTTCATATATTTATGTACTCGTATGTGTTTAAAAAATCCATGTTAAATAATTGAAATTGAACCGTCATGCTTCTGTGAGCTTAAAGATGGTAACTGTATAAGAAGTTAAGAAGACATGCAAATTAATAAATACTCATTAAATTCAAAACCAAAATTGGTGCATAGTTTTAAATAGTGTGGATGTGTTTGTTTATATTTACAAGCCACAAAGATAATGAAGTATTTTCGGATGAGTGTGTGTAGAAGTGAAGTGACGCAAACTGATATGTAGTTTAAATGCGGCTTATTGAGCTGACAATTGGTGATATATCCAAGTCTATTATGGTATTATAAAACTTAATTGAGATACCGGATTGAATATTGTAATTCAAAAATATATCTTATTTTCGTTTTGTAAACAATTCTTTACATATGTAATTCTTCTGTCCGTGTGTACCTATATGACTGAACTTCTGACCGATTTTGATGAAATTTTATGATAATGCGGAGACCTCTTAAAATTTATTTTATTCTTTTTCTATTTTAATTAATTTTATTCGAGAATGGTTTAGATTTACAATTGGACTCGGTAGGTGGCGCTGTTTTCGAGATCTAAAAATCACTCGTGCTAAGTCGGAACTTTTTTAATAAATTGTGTCCTTATTCTGTAGTGAGAGCATCCGTGAATTTTTCTGCCACTGGGCCGGCGCCAAATAAATAAGGTGAAATAAGCGGGGTAAGTTAATTAGTAAGGAAAATGTAGGTGTTAATATTTCTTTCCATTAATTAATTTGGTTATAAATTGATAAATCAAACTACGGATATTCCAAAAGTAGAAAAATTAAAAAGATATTTAAAAATTTGCAAAAAATTATAGAGCAAATGAATGCACAGAAGTATTGTTTTTGTGAATTTACATACTCTACAAGCCGTGTGTTTAAAACGCAACTTCTCAATTATAATGACATTGTGTAATAAATAACTTCGCTTCAGTCGCAATTAGCTAAATTTAGTGAGCGGACTATTTTGATCCTTCATGACGGTAGCGAAGTAAAGCCACAGTAACCTAACTGACTGCAAACTCGGAAAGTTGTTTGTTTGAATCCGCGAGTGGATAATGGCAGTATTAGTAAAAGCTTTATTAGTATTATTATTTTTTATAAATATATTGGTAGTTATTAATTAATTAGGAGTACTAAGTGGGGACAATTGAAGAGTTCTCTCTACTATAAGATGAATGGTCACTCTTAACATTGTATTTTATTATAATAAATACAAAATTGATGAATGTGTGGCACTTTTATGTGAAAATTTATAATAAGCTTAAAGTTATAGGCAAGAAGATCGAATATTGTAAGTCAAAGTCAATGTATTATGCTGGGAACATATTTCGAAATGCTGTATAGGTTAATAAGTGTTAATAAGTATTTACTTATAATATAAATGGAGACTTTTAGACGTTTCATACCTAATAATTATGTTACATAGTACATGTCACACACAAGAATATTTTATTAGCTTTAACACGTTATATATATTCATTGGGTGCGTCTGCTAGTGATCGTGTAATCTGTGAAAGACTTCACCGATTGAAGTTACATTCACATAATATATTTGTTTTGTCGGAACGGTGGTTCACATCTATGCTAGGATTGTATAGGTGACGTTGTAAGCGAGTTATTATTATGTATTTATTATTATAAATTCTACATTTATAAATCAAAATGACACATATTTACTATAAAGTTTATAATAAAATATTTATATTTACTTTCTAAAAAGTGAAAATTCGATGTGAAACTAATCAATAATTATAATAAGACGCGGTGCAGAAGTGCATAAAATGACTACAAGTTAGAAATAAAAAAGGATAGTTAAGAAAGAAAGTAAGTATGAAGAACCATACACGTTTCGTGTATGTTTCGGTGTATGTTCGGTATGTCGGTTTTAGTAATTGATTTAAAATTTCGAACATAGCTCAAAATAAAATGATAGTGCAATCATATAAAAAAATAAAAAATAGCGTGCCATAATATTAAAAAAATGTTATTGTTAAATAGGCCACAAACATTACACAAACAAAAATTGGAGGTTACTAAAGTAACAAATATGTGGATTGTAATCTCTCTCTCTCTCTATATATATATATATATATATATATATATATATATATATATATATATATATATATATAGTTCATACTCACACGTCCATGAGGTCGAGGTTGGATTTCATTTGTTATTTGGGTCGATCAACTATTTTTTGTCCTATCGGAATTATTTAAAAAAAAATGTTTGTTGTTTTACTTTTAGTTTTTAACTTTATTGAAAGGTTAGATAATTTATCAAATTTTTAAATTTCTCATCCAGCAGCGCACTTTTTATGACTAAAAGTGGATTTTTGACAAAAAAACCTGATGACTAGCCAATAAATCGGTCACTTGGACAACCGTAGGTTTTAATTTATAACTGCTAAAATAAAGGCTTAAGTTTAAAAATATACAGTCTATTTGTGTATTTCTGTGTTAAATATTACCCTAGAGCACTGAATTATCAGTACTGCATTGACTATTATCAAATTATTTTTAGTTAAAATGTCTCTTGGACAACTATCGTCTAAATAAAAGAAAGAAGTTTCAATAAAAGCATTAAATTATACTTATAATATAATAAAACATAATTGAAGATATTTTTCCAACACTATTAAGCAAATTTTATAATAAGTATTAAGTTTTTTTCGTTTTTGTCCAAAACATGAAGGTTTTGTTAATTCTGATTTTGGGGACAAAACAGTTGTCTAAGAGACATGAAGAATTGTCCAAGAGACATTTTTATGGTTATATGATACTATTGATATTATTATACGATATGCTACCTAATACTTTACATTTATAGAAAAAGAATAGGATGATTAAAGATATTGATGGTAATTGAAAGTATTTATTTGAAATTCACTACTCAAAACAGTCTTCATTTTCAAAAACTAAGTCAGAAGGGTGGAATCAAATAGCACAAACAATACTTATAGTAAGGAATATAAGATAAATTGTACTCGTAAGATATTAAAGAGATCAAATATTTCTTAAAATTAATTAACGTAAAAAAATTAAGTACTACACGAAAGAATCACAATTCTTAATATTAAATTAAGTAATGATACTTAAAAATTATGCAACATTAAGAAGTTAAAATCAATTTCTAAACTTTAAAAAAGATCAAATATATCTTAAAGTATGATTCTGTGAAACAATATACCAAATTCGAAACCTTTATTATAACATAGCTTAAAGTCAGTCAATCAACTTCAAATTAAAATTCTGACAAAAACGGCTAAGTACTCCTGAGTCATTCAATAATAGTAAATTATGTATTTTTTGTTACATTAAATACTAAAACAAACAACCAAAATAATCAAAAAAGAGCACCAAAATCAAACAAAAGAGCTTTTTCATATCGACATCGAAAGATCTCAAAATATTATCTTAAAATTACAAGTCTTAAAAGTCAATCAGTCTTAAGGATTAAATAAAATAATTTGCCATCACACTAATCATAAAAACTATTTGGGAATTAAAAAGCTGCCATATCCAAATGAGTCGTTGCAAAATGACTTTTATTTTTCAAAAACTTCGACGTTACACGGGAACTTGTAATATACTTCACCTCTTTTGTACTCTACATCTGGATTTGGCAGTTTCCTTATGATATCTTCATATGCAACATACGAAATGTCTTTTTGATTAAGGATAAATAGTTTTCCTCGTTTTACAGCTTTTAGAAATGTGACTTTAATCTCACCATCATCTTCAATGTCACTTTGAGCAACACAGCAATATGAATACGATTTTCCTTTGGCACCGTAAACCTTGACTAGTAAATAATCTCCACGTCCTGGTAAATTATTTTGTTGTCCTGATGTAGATGGCTGCTGTTCGTCGCCACCTCCAGGTAAATCGTATGTTGGTAAATTATCATTTTGTCTTGATACATAAAGTCCACTTAAGTCAAATTTAGGTAGGTTGTCATATACTTTTGATGTCAGCTTATCATCATAATATCCAAATACGTTATATTGTTTCAATGTAGATTGCTCACCTTCAGAATCTCTTAATCCAGGTAAGATATTGTGAGCTTCATTCTGCTCATCTTCATCTGTATTGTTTTCAGAGGTATCTGAAGAACGATACACACGTTTGTACATATTTTTTGATACTGATGTCCTAAAATCTTTGAACGATATGTCATTCTCATGCGATGATGTTAGCATGTGACTCAATGGGAAATTATCATTGCTTAAGTTATCGTCAAAATCGCAAACCTTGTGAGTAGTATTATTACTTTTTGGAACTGGTATCGGATAGTAAAGCTTTGGATTTAAGCATTCACAGAATCCGCGTTCGCAGAAACAACTTAAGTCCCTGTATTTAAGTTGGCCTCGAATATTGGAAAAAACTTGATGAACTCGAGTTGTTCCTACTAAAGGAACGATAGTCTTTGGAATCTGAATATTGATGGCATCAACTTGTTCTTTCTTTATATAGAATAATTTAATTCTGCTTGTCCCTTCCAGAGCATTATAAAATTCTAATGCATTGGTTATGTCCTTTCCAGTCGCTACCAGATTGTCTGCAGCTCTTTTTATATAGCCTCCAATACCATCAGCTGGTCCCTTACCATGACCTGCTTCAAAATAAGACCATGTAAATGCTTGAACTCCATAATCAAATATTTTCGTGGAAGACAAATAAAAATTCAACTTTTGCCTATACTGAGAAAATGGACCGTCAGAAAAAAAGTGTATTGTGTTAATCAATGGATAATTAGATTGAATATTTACTAAAACCGGGTGTAAATGTGCCCATATGGCAGCCGGTTGATGAATGTTGCAAGGAGATACAGTGAAAAATGACAAAGCCTTGTGATTGCTTTCTTCACTGTGTACATATACGACCACCGTATGGAGCGTCACCTGTTGCCTCGATCCTCCAAAATGATGGGCCTGAATTTCTTCCGTACATTTTGCTGCATTACTGCTTCATTGGGTTTAATATAGTCTACACTTTGTCGAAAACTCTGGTACTGGTTTTTCATGTTATACACATGTCCCTTTAGGATTTTGAATTCTTCTCAAAAACTTGTAATCAAATTTTTGATAGCGTCTTCCTTTACTTTCTTTACATTTTTAAAAGCTTTTGTCTTTTTCCCTTCTTTCATATATATTTCTTCTTCTCTCACCTATTCGAACCACTGTATGTTTCCTTGAACTTTGTCCGTATTCAGTTTAATTTTATTGTTCTTACATATTTCGCAATTTCCAAGCATGCAATCTTTATTTTTAGCATCACATACGGTTTGCATAATTAGTGAGCTTAGGTCAAACGTCTCTAATACGAATTTGTTTCTTAAAGCTTTAGCCTTGTATGCTGCATTCGTATGTACCTTGCACAGACACATTTCTCTACCATCGACACTAGGTTTCACCACATAATATGGTCTATTTTTTGTAAAATAAAAGTATGAACATTTAACTTCTGGGTTTTCCAACTTAAATGACCTGTAAATGTTGATCATCGAATCCAGCAAAAACCTTTTCTGAGTTTTTTTTGTACCTCTACCGATAGTTTCATTTTTACCCGCGGTATTTCTAGAAACATCATCTCTATTGAAAAAATTTTTAATTTTTTTAATCAAATTATTATCCTTTTTGTGGTCTTTTGTATGAATCCTTATATTGCCTTCTAATCCAAATGACTCTTTTACGATCGTCTTCCTTTTGTTTCCTAGTTCTCGGAATATATTTTTAAGAAATGTCTTTTCTTTGTTATTGTGAACTCTTTGATATCGTTCCTTGATCGCATTACATAATACTGTGTATTTATTTTGTCCATCAGATGTGCAATTCGTTTTCTTCGCTGGTTCTTCTTTGTTTGTCTGTTTAGATTTTGTTTTATTTCGTTGAACTCTTTTCTTATGTTTTTCGTATTTTTCCTTAACTTCTCATTTTCTTCTTTTAATCGTTTATTCTCTCTATATAGTTTTGTTCTGTCTCGACGTACCTTCTTTCTGCCTCTAATCATACTTTCTGCGGGGCTATCCGGTGGAATGGGAGCAAATAAAGGCTGATTAATTGGTTGCTGGAGAAGTATGGACGGTGAACTTGGAGGTGTATTATTCAACAATTCCTGTATTGCTTTTTTACGTTTTCTTTGTTCTTGCTTTCTCAGTTTCCAAATGATCCTGCAGTTGACTTTTTCTTGTGGCTTAAGATCTGATAATAGTTTTTTATTTTTATGGTAACTCTCTCGCTTTTTTCTTTTCCTTTCATCATATTTTTCCGGGTTTTGTTTTAATCTGTCTCTATAACGTTTGGATTTTTCTTTTGATGACATTCCCATTTTGTAATTCTAGTTCTAAAATAAAAATATTTTATATTAATTGTAAGTTATTATAGTAATTTAAAATAAATATATAATTTTATATTTATTTATAAAAATAAAATGAATTTATTTTTTTGCAAATATTGCTACTTAATTCTTAATAAATCGGGAATCATTTGAAATGAATCCCCTGGACAACCAAAAATGTCTTTTGGACAACCATTTTAGTTGTCCAAGTGACGGTTGTCCAAGAGACACATTTTAAGTTTAGGGACTTTCATTGAAAAATTATTGGATTATTATCCTGATTACTAAGTTTACCATTGAACCAATAATATGAACTAACTTTTTTTATACAATCTGTAATGAAATATCTAGATACTTACAGTTTTGATGCGGTGGTTCAGTGGACTGACAATTAACACACGCAACTTGTCTTGTTGTTTGCGGCCGACTGACTCGAACATTCTTCCAATAAACAAAATGGCGGTTGTATCGCCGCGCCTTTATTATTGATTACTTTATTGATTGCAGACTTGTAACGCCATCTCTCTCTCATTTTAGAAGTTCTTAGTGGTTGTCCGATAGACATACGATTTTGAAGTAACATGTGGGACAACGTAATAATTTAGAGATTAGGCGATAGATGTCCAATGGAAACATTATTGGAAGCTTTTATGAACTATGAAATAAGGTTGAATATTTTTGAGAAACTAGTTTTAATGTGACAATGGAATTTTTTTTCACCATTCTTATTTTTATAGATGAGTAGTGCCTGGGGACATATAATTGTACAAAGAAACGAACTTTGCGTCTTTTGGACAACCACATATATTTCAGTTAATTTTGTGTTTATCTACCAAGTCTTAATCCCTGTGTATTAAACATAATACTAATGATAAGGCAAACACTTAATTTTCCCATTCGCAACCATACTTTTGGAGAAAAAAATATTTGAATGTCAGGGACAGTGGTAGGACAAAAAATAGTTGATCGACCCATTTGTCATTGGATTTTTGGCGTATTAAAAAAACCCAAAAGAAATGAAAAATAAATAACAGGTAAACTGTATTTTTAGGATGGGACATTAAACTATTATAATCGAAATCTAAAGTGGACATGTCGGTGTTATCATGATTTTATATGCGGACAGGGAACGTGTTAAAGCATTGCGTAGAGCCTACTGAAAACTAAGGATACCCTTCCAACCACAAAATCCATGGAAGTATAACATAATTAAAACCATTTAAAGTTTGAAACAACAATTTCAATTTTAACCAAACATCTCGAAGCATTGTATTTGACAATATCGATATCCTATTACTAGATAATTAATTAAAAAATACCCTTTTCGATCATTTCTTTGCCTTGAGAGAGCCCTATGTTTAGCCTACTGCTAAAGGCGAAGGTTAAGAATGATGATGGTAATGATGGTGATAATTCATTCCTGAAGCTTCAAGAATAAGGATGTTTATTCTTGCTCAATGTTTGTTAATTGAGAAGTATGATTAATTTTATTTACTAATAAAAACTTATTTTACGGACGTTCAGCGTTAAATTTTAATTTTTACTGCACTCATGGTCACTTTTTGAGACTAGGGTGCTTGACTTCCTTACAAGCCTATTTTAAAAATTAATTTTAAATTTGTAGTTTATTTTTTAATTTGTTGACACTATCTATTGTGATTGTAGCTTTATATTTAAAAAAAAACGAAGGTATTTAAAAGATTGAAATTTAGGGTGCAGAAGTATTCAATATGGGATACTTAAGTTTTAAAAGATAACGTCCAGAGTAAACGTAAATTAATATATATAGTGAATTGTTTGTTTCCCATATTTTATAAGATATAGGGCTGATTTTTCGGTCGTCAGGTAAAAGTTATCCATCAAATACATTACAACCTGATTGAATATAAAAGTTTGCCAGTTAAACTATTCCAAATATTCATACAACTATAATTTTAAATTTATTTTTGTTATATTTTATATTGTGATTAAATTAAGTATTGAAAACTCGGCTCTTTGTGCTAAATGAGTATCAAACATATTTTTTTGCATTTGAACTGTAAAACTGGTAGTATTAAGCATATAATTAAAACAATGTAAAGAGAACATTTTACCGATGTTGCAATTAATTTTATAAAAATTCTAAAATTCTAAAAAAATATACTGTTATTTATTCTAGCCATATCTTATTCTAAGGACTATTCTGTATATTTAAATGTAAAGCCGTTTTGGCGATTTTGTTTTATATTCAATGTTATAGAATAGTTTAAACATAGTAAGTACTTGTATTACACAGACCTCCTCGTATTATATATAATAGCCTAATTTACTCAAATATTCTTACATACCTTTACAAATAATAAAAAAAATTAAAATAGTTTCTAGTCAATTTTTAAAATGTTATACCTACATAATATATTTCTTAACTTAGTGTTGAGATGTCTTATTTTACAAAAATTACAACAAAATAGTATTTAGATTTTTTTTATAACAGCACGTTTTCATGCTAGAATTAAGTCAATAAAATATTCATTATTTAATGTTCACTATATATTAGTGATTACGCAGTGTATTTAGCTAACTTACTGTCGTATTTATTCAAATTGTATTGAATACTATAATTGTTAATTTAAGGCTCTGTTGTACTTTTAAATGAACTAAAGAAATTGTACGCATTTTATGTGATCCCTCAATGTTATTGCTGTTGTTTGTAATAATATACATTTTTTTTTCAAATATCTAGTCAATTTTATTTCTACATAATTTCAAATTATGAAAGATTATATTGGGGAATAAAATAATATAATAATAAACTTTCAGACTTAATGATCCAATATAACCTTCATCAACAAATTCACAGTCCAACACGTGTTACTAAAACAATTTCAACATACTTAGATATAATTTATCTAAACTTTAGCGATACAAACCTGCTAATAACTGTGCAAGAATTGGGCCTGTCTGACCATAGGGCCACAATAATTAATCTGAATCTTTCTAAACAAAATAAACAAAAATATGGTACACCGAAAAAAGACAATACAACAAAAACAATATAGCAAATTTTAAACTTGCATTGGAATCTTAATTGGGAAAATATACTTAATAAAAATAAAGGTATAAACTGTAACTATAATACATTTCATCAAACTTTAATTAACGTTCTGGATAATTGTATACCAAAAAAAGTAATAAAAATAAAAAACAACTATAAAAAACATTTTCTTCCGTAGGTATAAAAAAGTCTTGTTATAACAAAAGATTACTTAAATCGCACGTTATAAGGTTAAATAACAAAATTCTTAGAGATTATTATAAGAAATATGAAAATATTAAAAAGGGTTATAACAACGTTAAAAAAATTACACTTTATAAACAAGATAAAGCAGTCTAACAACAAAATAAAAACAATGCGGCATATTGTTCGAGAACGCACAAACAAAATAAACTTAAAAGTTAAAATCAAATATTAAATTAAATATCAACAACCATATTTCTTCTAACCCAAAACAGATCGCCGATAAATTTAGTGATTACTTCTCCAATATCGGTGAAACAATTCATCCACAAGCAAAGGGTCTTCCTGTTCTACATCCATCAGAAAACTCAATATTTATAGGCAGAGTAGGATTTGAAGAAATACTTAAAATATTAAATAGTCTAAAAATAAACTAAGCCATGGTGTTGATGAGATTCCCCCAACATTATTCAAACAATGTGCAAGCGCTTTAGTATATTCACTAACATTATTAGTAAACCAATTTTTTGAAGAAGGCGTATTCCCAGATATACTAAAACTTTCACTGGTGAAACCCATTTATAAAAAAAGGTATATATTTAATATTATAAATACACAAACGGACCCAGGCAACTATTGACCTATTGCCTTATTATCCACGGCCTCTAAAATATTTGAAAAAGCATTATACGACCGTATCTATAAATTCTGCGAAAAATATAATATCTTTAATGGCAGTCAAAACAATTGCCGCAAAAACAAATCAACTGTTCTAGCAATTTATAATTACATTCAAAAAATATATAATATAATTAACGATAAAAAATATGCTATAGGAATATTACTAGATATTGCAAAAGCATACGATACAGTGCAATATAACATATTACTAAATAAATTATATTACATAGTAATCAGAGGCCCGTGCTATACTCTGTTAAAATCATATTTACACAATAGAACGCAAATAGTAGAAATTGAGTATTTTAATGACAAATTACATAAAATTGAAAAAATTAGATCGACACAGCGGACTGGCTAACTAAACATAACCTGCGGATAAACTTATTGAAAACTAAAATAATGTCTTTTCACCCATATCAAAAACCAAAATTAGATATAAAAAATAGATAATGACGGCTTCACTATAGATACAGTTAACGAGCACACATTACGCCTAATAATAGATTCCCATATTACTTGGAAACCACATATAGAAAAATTATATAGGAAGTAAGTAAGGCCTCAAGTTTATTAACTAAACAAAAAAAAATAATACTAATCATAGCTAATATACAAAACACAGAAAGCTGTAAGCCTTACTTTAAGAAGTATAACATTTTAAGCCTGCCCTGTATCCAAGCTTCTACACAAAACTAGATGACGTCATATCTAGGAATCTAAGACAGAGAAACAAACTACTGCTACCAACTTTAAAACTAAAACCTCATTCTTCCAGCCCATTAGCCATGTCTATAAAAGTATATAATAAACTACCCAAATATATAAAAAAAACATTAAACAGGAAAAACCATTTGTAAAAAAATTAAAGCAACTACTTATAAACAAGTTTTACTATAGCACTTCTGAATTTTTAGAAGATAAAAATATAATATAGGTATGTAAATATGAATGTTAGGTAATAATGAAATGCCATCCTACTAAATAAATTACAAAAAAAAATTTTTAATAAAATTTAAAATTATTCAAACAATGTAATAAAAGTTCAACTGTGCTAATTATACTACCTATAATAATAAATCAAATGTCAAAA